AGGCTATAATCATGGCGATCTCAGAATAAATTACACAATACCTTACATATTACAGAGCACCTATCAGAATATTTATTTTCCATTAACTCAATTAACTCAAATTAACATAAGACTTGGCAGAATGGCAAAATAGTATGCAATAGTATATATTTTTATTCATTTTAATATCCAGATGGTATGAAAATTCACGCTTTCCAATCTAAGTGGTCACCTGACTGTAAGATACTCAAGTACAACCAGGGTGTTAACACAGATGGCTGTTATAACTACTCACACTCTGAAATACGCATGCTGATTCAGTCATTTGACATTAAGAGTTTAGAAGAAAAAAAAACAATCAGGACACTGTTTGGTCTGTGCCTAAAAATGAAGTTATAAGGAAATGAATAACATTGTCTGACATTCACAGCAAGGGCTATCATCACACATAAAGTCACGTCTAATCTCCTTTGACGTCATTGTCACTGGAGAGGGCACATTCACAGACTCCATTAACAGATGCCTCTTCACTGTGCCAGTCATGCCTCACACCTAACGGACATACTGCTAACACACTCAGGGCATTGCTGGCCTTTGTGTCAAAAGGGTAACAGACACGGATTGCCTCTTGCCATCAGGGCGGATTATTACACGGATGAGAGAAGCAGTTTGTTAACCGCAGCAGGACGACAACCTTCACGCCACGAGCTGTATGACAAACTGCCGATATGTCACTATTGCAAATGCTCACAGTTCACATTCAGAACTTTCTCACATTCACATTCATCCATCCTGTCATTCCACAGTTTATACAGCACCAATCTTTAGAGATTTGTTCATTCTCATGCTGCCGTCTAAGTCGAGTCAAAGTGATCATATTTACAGGATGGATACAAACACACACACTCAGTGGGAAAATTTCTAAAAATTGCTAAACTGTCAATTAAAGAATTCTAGAGGAAGATAAGTTTTAATTGTGAATGCCGACTATATAAATTTAACAGTTTAGAAAGGAGCTTTACTGACAATACTTTTTAAGCATTAGCCTCTGTTGCATATGGAGATGACGGTTTAAAAAAGTAATGCAGAAAACAGACTTCCATAGCTATAAATAAACTATTACATACTAGAACTGAGACTTATATGCTAACGGCTAAATCTTTGGTCTTGCCCCAAAAGACAAAGTTTTAGCAAACTGAGGTGTCAAACAAAAAGCAATCATGAAAAAAGTAGAGCATGGTGGTTTCATTTTGTTAACTGTGCTGCTGTAATATACAGTTTTGGGCCAGTTTGATTGTTTTGAAACAAATGGATACTTTTATTCATACGCAACAATGCAATAAACTGATCAAAAGTGACAGTAAATACATTTATAATGTTTTAATAATCACATACACATAATTTATCTATTCATAATAAGAAGAAATATTTAATGACCACCAAATCAGATTTCAAAACTTTAAATGGTAGTGCACAGTGCCATAAAAAAAAGTACTGTACATTTACTACAAAGAGAGGGTTCAAGATACAAATACAGAGTTAGAATATGGTTTTCCCGGATCTGGAATGAGAAGTGAAGGGCTTGACAATTGTAAGCTTTGAGGACACATGGGAGAGGGTGTTAAAAAATGCATTACTCAATTTAGCAGCGGAAACACGCAGTCTTAGTACTGAGTCAGCCTCCTTTGCCTTTTCCGCTCAGTAACTACTAAGTGAGCATCGCAGATTTAGTTTAGGTTGAGTAAATCTCTGTGCCAGGCCCAATGGGATGTTTCAATCTTCTGAAGCACTGGTTGAATGAAGGGACAGTAGCCGCTAACTGAACCTAGTTTACTTTGAAAACTATATATACACAATCCAATCTACAGAATGAACACTTGAGGAACATAAAAATGATTGTCGATGCAAACTGTCCATAGGCACGCTTACTCATGAATTGAAAAGATGCAGAGATGCACCGATATAAAAATTAAGTTAATGTTATGGCCGTATTCTACACTGTTTTTGTCTATATATAGAGCATTATATTCTGCAGTCCGAAAAATGGATATTCATTGTGAGATTAACAAATGAGTGTTGTAAAAAATAACTTTAATTGAGTGTTAGATGACAGCACATCTAATCTAAATGTAAAAATAAGAGAAATGAGTATGCACAAATTAAAAAATATCCTAATTTCACCCAAACATCTCTAAAAAGATGGTATGATATTAAATCGAATTTTAAAAATGCTAAAAAGCATAAAATCAAGATGTAATTTTTTTTTCTTTATATATAGTTGAAGTGTTCTGGAACAGTGTTGTAAATACAACTTAACCACTGATTTCTAGTCGTGTCCATTTTTGGAAGGCCAAACAAAGTAGTTTCGCTTTCACAATGAAACACAGCGTCACACACGGTGGCCTAGAGTGAGCGGCGGCGGTCTATAGTGAGCAGAGGCCGGGGGCTACAGTGAGGAACGGCCGGCGGGCTGAGTGAGCAGATGCGGTGGGATTGATAACGGTGCGGCCGGCGGATTCGACGAAGGAGGCTTGCGGGGGCTTGC